AAGGCGATGAGTTTCAATCGTTGGCTCATTTGGTATCGAACTCGGATCTAAAATAGCAAAAAAGCCGAGGCCGAGAAGTGTTGATGGTTTTGCCGTCCGGTAAGGGCGGGAAGAAAAAGCTTCAAAACCGGATCGACAATTTTCCTACGAGCTTTCGTTGTGCTCATAGCGCTCCGGGAATTCCAAAGCTTGATGGCTCATATCATCTAGAAAAAAAATGTGTATTTTGGGGGCCTAAATGATGTTTTTTCTCTACAATCACTCCGAGCTCATGTCCAAAGGCGATGAGTTTCAATCGTTGGCTCATTTGGTATCGAACCGGATCTAAAATAGCAAAAAAGCCGAGGCCGAGAAGTGTTGATGGTTTTGCCATCCGGTAAGGAGCGAGGAAGAAAAAGCTTCAAAACCGGATCGACAATTTTCCTACGAGCTTTCGTTGTGCTCATAGCGCTCCGGGAATTCCAAAGCTTGATGGCTCATATCATCTAGAAAAAAATGTGTATTTTGGGGGCCTAAATGATGTTTTTCTCTACAATCACTCCGAGCTCATGTCCAAAGGCGATGAGTTTCGATCGTTGGCTCATTTGGTATCGAACTCGGATCCGAAATAGCAAAAAGCCGAGGCCGAGAAGTGTTGATGGTTTTGCCATCCGGTAAGGGGCGAGGAAGAAAAAGCTTTAAAACTCGGATCGACAATTTTCCTACAACTTTCGTTGTGCTCATGGCACTCCGAGAATTCCAAAGCTTGATGGCTCATATCATCTAGAAAAAAAATGTGTATTTTGGGGGCCTAAATGATGTTTTTTCTCTACAATCACTCCGAGCTCATGTCCAAAGGTGATGAGTTTCGATCGTTGGCTCATTTGGTATCGAACTCGGATCTAAAATAGTAGAAAAGTAGGCGAGTCATTTTTTTATGAAAATAAACCATAGGACGTTGCCGAGGTTGAGGAGTTTTGATGGTTTTGCTGTTCGGTATCGGGCGAGTAGAAAAAGCTTCAAAACTGGATCGGCAATTTTCTTACGAGCTTTCGTCACGATCATACCGCTCCGGGAATTCCCAATCCCGATGGCTCATATCATCTAGAAAAATAAATAAAGTATATTTTTAGGGGCTAAATGACGTTTTTTTCTCTAGAATCACTCCGAGCTCATGTCTAAAGGGGATGAGTTTTAATCGTTAGCTCATTTGGCATCGAACGAGGTCTAAAACAACAAAAAAAAAGGACGCCATTTTTTTTATGAAAATAACCCACGGGATGTTGCCGAGGCCGAGGAGTTTTGATGGTTTTACCGTCCGATAAGGGCGAGGAAGAAAAAGCTTCAAAACCGAGATGGTATTTTTCCTATAGCTTTCATCATGCTCATACCCCTCTTGGAATTCCCAATCTTGATGGCTCATATTATCTAAAAAAACAACTAAAGTGTATTTTGGGGGCCTAAATGACGTTTTTCTCTAAAATCACTTCGAGCTCATGTCCAAAGGTGATGAGTTTTGATCATTGGCTCATTTGGCAATGAACCGGGTCTAAAACAGTAAAAAGGCAGGCAACCATTTTTTTAACGAAAATAACCCACGGGACATTGCCAAGGCCGAGGAGTTTTGATGGTTTTGCCGTTCGGTATGGGGCGAGTAGAAAAAGCTTCAAAATTGGGTGGCAGTTTTCCTATAGCTTTCGTCACGCTCATACCGCTCAAGGAATTCCTAATCCCGATGGCTCATATCATCTAGAAAAACAAATAAAGTATATTTTTGGGGCCTAAATGACGTTTTTTCTCTAGAATCACTCCAAGCTCATGTCCAAAGGCGATGAGTTTTGATCGTTTGCTCATTTGGCATCGAATAGGGTCTAAAACAGCAAAAACGTAGGCCGTCATTTATTTTAAGAAAATAACCCATAGGACGTTGCCGAGGCCGAGGAGTTTTTATGGTTTTGCCGTCCGTAAGGGCGGGAAGAAAAAGCTTCAAAACGGAGATGGTAGTTTCCCTACAGACTTTCTACAAGTTTTGTCGAGCTAATACCGCTCTAAGAATTCCAAAGCTCGATGGCTCATATCATCTTGATAAACAAAAAAAAGTGTATTTTGAGGGCCAAAATGACGTTATTTCTCTACAATCACTCCGAGCTCATGTCTAAAGGCACCGAGTTTAGATCGTTGGCTCATTTGGCATCGAACCGGGTTTAAAACACCAAAAAAGTAGGCAATCATTTTTTTTACGAAAATCGCCCACAGGACGTTGTCGAGGCCGAGGATTTTTATGGTTTTCCTGTCCGGTAAGGGCGGGTAGAAAAAGCTTCAAAATTAGGTCGGAAGTTTTCCTACAACTTTCGTCACGCTCTTATCGCTCTACGAATTCCCAATCCCGATGGCTCATATCATCTAGAAAAACAAATAAAGTGTATTTTGGGGGCCTAAATGACGTTTTTTTCTCTATAATCACTTCGAGCTCATGTCCAAAGGCAATGAGTTTTGATCATTGGCTCATTTGGCATCGAACCGGGTCTAAAAGAACAAAAACGTAGGTAGCTATTTTTTTACGAAAATAACCCACAAGACGTTGCCGAGGTTGAGGAGTTTTGATGGTTTTCCCGTCCGATAAGGGACAGGAAGAAAAAGTTTCAAAACTGGGCCGACGGTTTTCCTACGAGTTTCGTCGAGCTCATACCGCTCAAGGAATTCCAAAGCTCGATGGCTCATATCATCTTGATAAACAAAAAAAGTGTATTTTGGGGGCCAAAATGACGTTGTTTCTCTAAAATCACTTCGAGCTCATGTCCAAAGGCGCCGAGTTTAGATCGTTGGCTCATTTGGCATCGAACCGGGTCTACAACAAGTAAAAAGTAGGCGAGTCATTTTTTTTGCGAAAATCGCCCACGGGACATTGTCGAGGCCGAGGATTTTTATGGTTTTCCTGTCCGACAAGGGCGAGTAGAAAAAGCTTCAAAATTGGGTCGGCAATTTTTCTACAACTTTCGTCATGCTCTTAGCGCTTCAAAATTAGCCATTTTTTTTACGAAAATAACCCACGGGATGTTGCCGAGGCCGAGTAGTTTTGATGGTTTTGCCGTCCGGTAAGGGGCGGGAAGAAAAAGCTTTAAAATTGGGCTTACGGTTTTCCTACGAGTTTCGTCGTGCCGATATCACTCCGGGAATTCCCAATCCCGATGGCTCATATCATCTAGAAAAACAAAAAAAGTATATTTTGGTGGCCTAAATGACGTTTTTTTCTCTAAAATCAATCCGAGCTCATGTCCAAAGGCGATGAGTAATTATGACGTCCTCCGACACACCGGTTGTGTCAAGGCTTTTAGTGGATCCGATGTTTGAATCGACGTATCACCCGACGAAGGGGATCGATGATCGTTTCAATATGATGCCACGCGCAAAACTAAAAAATTCAATTAGTCTAAAAGAAAATAGGAGATTAAAATTTAGAAAAATAACTTGACATGGATTTTAGGAGATAATTTAGAACTAAACCGTACATGATACCTTTTTCGAAAAGGGCACTTTTAAGTGATTAAATATCTTCCTAAAAGCGTAACCAACTCCTTACTTTAGGAATCTCTCGAACCAAGTGCTACTTTTAGGTTCCTAGTTCCTTAAATACTAAGTGGCGACTCCAAAACTCGTAAATAATTTTGTAAATAATTAACGTCCGGACAGGTAATTTTCTTTTGGGGGTCCCGTTCGACATCGTGTAGTGACAACCAAGTTAACACTAAACTTCAAAACAATCCAACACAAAACAATCCAAAGTTTTCAAAATTATCTACCCTAATTTAGGTTTAGCCAAAACTTTCGTGCAACAAACAAGTAAGCGTAAACTCTTAGCTCCATGACACAAACTTGTCGTGATTTGTAATAGATCAAAACAAGGTAGAAACAAGTCTAAATCTATAATTCAAACAAATAAAATAAGTTTAGGCCTAACTATGTAAATGTTGAAACTTATGTGAGATAAATATGAAACCTAAGCAAGCACAAGGTTCACTCAAGTTGATTGGAAGCACTATCCTAATTAATCATGTCAAGGATACATAATGCAAAATTCTAAGCAAGCACAAGGATTACCTCATGTCCTAAGCAAATCACAAGGAATCCAAGGTGGAAGAAAATTGCTCACACAAAGTTTATTTCAAAATTATCAAAGTCTCGCTTCAAAAATTACCAAAAAAAAAAAGAAAAGAAAAAGGAGAGCTTATATACTTGGGTTAGAATATACGGCTAGCGTTAAGAAAAACTTGTGCAATTAGACTACAAAAACTTGACACGAGTTGTCCTAATCAATAAGGAAAAATAAACTCCCAATCCTATTTGGATTTATTAATTTTAATGCAATACATACACAACAAAATCTAATTAATTCTAGTCCAAATTGAATATGAATACATATCAAATAAAAACTCCTAAATAATTATGAATCCATCGCAAATATGAATTTTAAAAATAATCCAAACATAAATAAGAATCCATACCTAACAATAATGAAATAATTAAAACAAGAAAAAAAAAAAAAAAAGACAACTAGCTTGAATATTTGGGCTCTAGTGGATTAGAAAATTCGATCCAAACATACTACTCCGTGTATGGGACTTTCACCTTGTTAGAGAACATATTCTATATTAAATAGTTAAACTAAAGATAAGTAATATATAAAATTGTGAAGGAGTTATTAATAAAAAAATTTAAGTTTTTTGGATGAAATCTAATTTCAACTAAGTAACTCTGTACAATCAAGTCATACATACACTTTGGCGTATAATGAACTTATTAAATGCATTTTTGGAAATGTCTTTTATGAAATAATTTGGTTTATTAAAAAAACAGTTATTATTATTTTTTTTCAAAACAATGTACTATTTTTTTTTTTTTTGGCTTAATAGAAATAAAGAAAGAAAAAAAAATTCCGAAAGGAAGAAAAAAAGCGCGGGAGTGAGCAGGGCTACCGTGTCTGTCCCTGACGTAATGGCGGGAATAAACGCACCCCCCAAGAAATGGCGGGAAAATCCCCTTATCACCACCATCAGCCAGTTTCACTCTCCACAGATCCGAAACTAAACTCCAAAATTCAGATCAGAAAAATGGTGGGACCAATGTACGATCTCCTCGCAAACCCTCTTGGGGCTGTCCGATTAACATTCGATAAGTCTATCTGGTCCGGATCCGACCCTTCCTCCTTCGATGGCAAAGATTGGGGAGCCGTCGACCTGTTCCGCCACTTTCTCTTCGACCAAGCCCAACTCTCCCAGGTAAACAAACACAATCACGTTACTTTAAATCCCTAAATTTGGTGCTTTTTATTTTAGACTCAGATTTAAAATTTTAATTACTTAATTGATAATTAAATACTTAATTAAGATTTACAAAATATGAGTTAATTAGTAGCAATTCGATAATGTAGGTTCCAATTCTTAATGGTGCAACAATAAATTGGATTAAACCGAACACTCTAGTTCGATTTCGGGGAATGATACAAGACATGTTGGGAAATGAATTCTATGTTGGTGCTTATAAGGTATTTTTTTTCTTTTTTGTTATTTTTGTAGTGATTACGTCTTACTGTCCTATGTTCAGGGTTATTTTTTTCATTTAATTGGTGAAGTAATTTGTGTGTGTGTGCGCCCACACTTGTTTTGAAGGATGGTTCGGTTTGGAGGACTAACAAATTCATGGATATTTCTGAATGCCCTGTGGAAATTAATTCGCCTGAAATGCGTCTCTGGGAGCGCCGTTTATTATGTTGTGTTCCGGTCAGTTTCCTATTCTCATCATTTTAGGAGCATTTTCTGTGCCGAGCTTCATTTTATTATTGTAGCACATGAGTATGTTCTTTAGTTCATTCACATTGGTATGTTCCTAGCATGTTTAACAAGAACTTAATGGTGCTTCTGTGTGGAATTGTAAGCTTACTTGATGATTGAACTGTTATGTTGTTTTCTTTTGCTGGCTTTTTCTAGGTTCCTGGATTAAATTCATGGGCTAAATCTACTTCTGAGGTAGCAGTAAATAGGTGCATGGATTTGACCTCTGATCAAAGAGATAAGCGAAGGAGAATGGACATTGAAGCTATCGATCACAATGATTTTTCTGTAATTCCTGCTGCTATTTTTGTCCTTTCTTTTTCCTTGTACAGAGTTTTGTCCAACTGCTTGAAAAACTTGCATTTGGTAGTTAGCGAAAAGTAGCTTCAATAATATTCAATTTGTTCAGCTAGCTCTTCAACTCAATTGTAGCATTCTGATAATTAAGTGTGTTATTCATGCTGAATTAAACTGCGTATCCTTGTTTAATGGCAGGTCTCAGTTGATGGATTTGAAGATTCTCCTAGTGCAAAAAGGATGGTTAGTGTTATGCTTTCTGCCTCTTTTTTGTATCTTTGTAGATAAGAAATGTGATTGTTTGCATATCATAAACATGGAAGGAAAAATGATGATATTGCATTCAATGTTTGATAATCTAGTTTACTTTGTTTTAGTTTCAAATTTTAATGGAACACAACAGATTTGAGCTTTCTATAACTGTATGGAAAAATGTATATCGGTATGGATTTATTGGCTTTTAGAGGCTATCTTGCCATCGAATTTTCTTCACCATCATTCTTATCAAAGCATTATGCTGTTATGTCATAGCTTGCCCCTTGCTTTGAGTCATTGTCAAATAAGCAGTCATCATTTTTATTACTGGCTGAGAATAAATTCACCCTTCAGAAAGCCTTGTTTTCTGAAGGGTGAATTGTCACAAAACAATAGTGAATTTTGCTCCACATTTTTGGTGTACAAACATCCTAAACTTGGTTTTCTGTAATTCAGTTGAATATATTTTGCATTTCCAATCTGTCGAGTTTGTTTGTAAAGGGTCCCTATGTTTCTGATGAGTACATCCATATCAGTAAATGGAATGTACATGGCTATGTACTCCTGAATTCTGTGTTAGAGTTACTTACATTCTTTCCCTTTGATAGAGAGAAGATCCCTCATCTTCACAGTATCAGGACCCTAAAAATGAAGGGGCTTGTTCAAGCCACATTATGGTGCCAGATGTTGACAGAGATTCTCTTCCTTGTCTCGTAAAGGTGGAGTTAATCAATTCTTTCTCAAGTTCTAGTCTACCTATAAAGTTTGTTGAAAGGTGCTAAAAATCCTCTTTTTTTTTTTTTTTTTTTTTTTAGTGCAGATATATGATTCTCCTGAGTCCGAGTTGAAGCTAAATGATGTTTTTGAATTTGTTGGGGTCCTCACTTTTGATTCTGAGCTTCCAGCAGAGAAGGATGATAATGATGAGTTCTCTAATGGTTTTTGTGATGATGTGTCAGTCAATTTGCCACCCAACAAGGTATTCCCTTGTGTTGGTCCAACTACTGTGTTTTTCAGTATCTACCAACATTCTTATAATAGCAGACATTAGAATTTTTATAATGCTGCCTTAAATTCCCATGTCGTTTTCCCAATCTCATGTACCAGTTATTAATTCTGACAATTACATGTTACAGTTACCCTTCCATAAAATACCATATGTGGTGCTTATGTCATTTATCATATTTTTTTTTTTTTACAAAATTTATTGTCGAAACTGCTCTGTTTGTTTCCATATGATGTCTGGTTGAAAACATGCAATTACTTTAATTCCCTTCTCTCTTTTGGTGCAGGTGCCACGCCTCCATTGTGTTATTCATAGGAAACTTGCAGTGTCTGACTTTCTGCAGAACTCCCTGCTGGTGGAGGTAATTTGTATGAAACTTATTCTCATTTGATTGATTGGAATAATTGTCTATCTGCTTAGTATTGGTTGTCTTCAATGGTATGGGATTCTTGTATATTTCTCATCATATTACATCACGCCTAGTATTGACATTTTCTGAACCATGCTTGTCTTTGATCCTACAGCCAAAACCACATTCAGTCAAAGAGGCAAGGAAAGCTTTGTTGACACATCTCACATCTATTCTTGGCAATGATGGGGTAGCAGCTCATTTCATGTTGTTGCATCTCCTGTCGAGGGTAAATTGTTTTCTTTCATTCTCATGGTTTGCTATAGTTCATCCATGGTGACTGTACTACTTTAGTTCATTCTGCAATCTTTTAGGAGCCTATTCTCTTCCTACATGTCTGGTACTTCTGGCTTGTAAAATAATGAGTTTTGTTAAGCAGGTACATGCTAGAGCAGACAATGTTGCTGTTGGGAAGCTTTCTTTGAACCTTACTTGTATTAGCAAAGAGACCGCATGTGCATTTGGTGCTAAGCTTGGTATTCTCATCAAGAATCTACTTCCCTTCACGAAAAGCATACCCCTGACTGTGGAATATCTTAACACAGCCTCTCTTGCTCCCAAAAAGGATTATCAGATAAACAGGTAGCAAATTCATAAATTTTGCTGCTGCTTATTTGGTATATTAAATTGGAACCACCATTCTCTGGATAGTAGCTTGACAGTCTTACATGCTTGATGTTTCAGACTGATGCCTGGAGTCCTACAGCTGGCTGAGGGCTCACACTTAATTGTTGATGAGACACGTTTGGAAACAGGAACCCTCAATTCTGTTGGGGTTGAGAATGCAAGGTTGCTAAAAGCTCTGGCAGAGTTGCAAAAGGTGAGGATCATTAATCACTTCCTCTTGGAAATTTATGCACTCAACTTGCGTGTAACTCATTGTCTTCTTTGCTCTCTCTTTTGTGAAAGACATTTAGGGCCTTTTGCAGTGTTCTCTTTAGCAGATATTCAATGGGATTGAAAAGTTCCGTCGTCTTATTGCTTTTGCCTTTCTCCTAGGAGGATGACTTCCTGTTGTAATCATTTTTTTTATTTCATCTGATGTTATATTCTTTTGATAAAAATAAAAAACGCGGCCTACTCTTTATTGGTCTGTACTATAGCTTGACTGATGAAGTGTGAATGTGAGAAACTATACGTAGTTTTTTCCACTACAGAAGAAACTTTAATGTGGATAATTTTTTTTTATAAACCTGTTGCTTAGTCTCAGTTCACTAGCACTTTATTGGAAGTACTGAAGTTACTCACTATTAAGAAATTGTTTGTCTCAGGTTGAGTATGATTTTAAGTATTATAAGATGGAGATGGCAGCTGATGTCCAATTGCTAATATTGTCAGAGGGGAAATCAAACATCGTACCAGCTGATATAATTATACCTTTTGAGCCTTCTTCAGTGGGTTCCTCTGAAGCTGTGCCTGTAGAAGTACTGGAAGCTTGGAGAGGGTACTTGGCTGCTGTTAGATCATTGCCACATTCTATTGAGTCAGATATGCAGAAGGTAAGAGCTAGATTGACATCTAGTTAATAAAGCAAGTCTTCTTTTAGCATAAAATTGAAATTGTATGTTAGCACTTTGTAGGCCAATCGTACAGGCAACTTGCAATGTTAGGACGAGCTAGGGTAATATTTTTTGCCCACTCTTGGAGTGCTTCCTATTTCAAGGGCATGTTATACATTTTTTTCCAAGTTATATTTTAACAAAATTAATTTAATGCATCAGATTCAGGTAGGTTTTTCGGTGGTTAGCCTAGATGTTATGCAAATATATATGTTACATGCCACCTAGTTGTCCCATGCCTTGAACCTGGTTTAACATTCTGCAATTATTTCAAGGGCTTGTTGACTATCTTCTCTTGTATCTGGCTTTCGGTACTAGTTTGTAGCTGGTTATTTAGCTATTATTTTATGGGCCTTTTCTTCTCAAATGTGTAACAAAAATGAAAGCAAAACTGAAGTGAAAAATAATAGAGGAGGAATAGCATTTTTCAGCATTGATGCTAGTTCTATTGGTTTACAGATGGTAGAAAATGACTTGGTTACTGCAAGGCAAGCTGATCGAAGCTTAGGCAGCCAAGATTTTAGCAGGTAAGAAGCTGTAGAGTTTTCCTTGCACGATATTAGTTTTCTGTTTCCTTAACCTGGTTTCGTTAAATCTGTAGTCTTTTGTTTCCTTGCAGATGGTTGACAATGGGCCGCCTCATTTCTGCCAGTTTTGGCGAGACCTCACTCTCATTGGAGCACTGGCAAATGGTCAAGGAGCTGGAGAGGTTAAGGAGAGATAGACTTAAGTGAAATATGCTTTTTCGATGCTGGTAGTGACAGTATTCAAAGATGTAAAACTAAAGGCCTATGCTCAGAATCAAATTCATGTCGTTCATGGATTCTCTGATGCAAATGTAACAACATTCTATTAGTAAATATTTTGCCTACTTTTGGTTGCATAACATTGGCGTCACAGGACATCACTCAGTTTCAACGTCTTGATGCTGACCATATTTTGAAGAGCTATAGAATAATTCCATGCGCATTGGTGTCATCTGTGTTCTGTTTTGTCTAATTCAATCCTCATTTTGACAAACAAGCTCTTAGCGTAACAATTCGGATGATGTTTATTTCCTAACGGAGATTGCATACCTTTTTAACAATATTGTTGATGAATATATTTTTATCTTACTAATGTGGAATTTTTCATCTTGTTTCTTGTTCTTGAAGGCACATAATTAATGAGAAGGGGTATGTATTTGTTGTAGAATGAAGTATGAGTAAATTACCTCCACCTTTTTTTGCATTGCACCTTCCGATTTAAAACATTATGGTTTTCTTTATGAGATTAGAAAAGTTAGTTTTTATATCTGTTTTTCTTTTAATTAAATGTCCGTTTTAGAAGAAGAAAGAAAACATTGCACCCTCATTTATCGATTAGCTTCATCCTCTTATGGAGAGAAAAATGAAAGTTTTTCAAAATTCATACAACTAAGTCTCCATTTTATTTATTTATTTTTGAAGAACAGCTTATGTTTTTTTTTGAAAATCCATGTCATTCACACATTAATGTTTTTTTGTAATATATGATAAAAGAAGGGGGAAAAAATTTAGAGGACATGCTTACTTACAAATGGAAGTAGCACATTTTTCTTGATTTTTTTCTAATAATATCGAAATAAAATGAGATTGAGCAAAAATAATGTTTTTTTAGATTAATTTTTTTTTAAAATAATGAATTGACATTTTTGTTGTCTATTCTAGGTATTCATTTTCTTAGTGGTTATTTGGAATTCTTTCCAAAAATCAGCTCTATTTTTAACGGCAAACTAGTAGATTTCTAACAAAATATGAAAAATACAATCACAAGAAAAATAGAAGGGAAAAAGCGTAAGGTTTTCAAATATATATATATATATATATATATATATATAGATGATGATGGAGGTAATTAACTCACAATATTATTGCATTGGACAATTTATCAAACAAAGGGAGTTTCTATAGAGCAAAGGTATAGTAACCCATAGTTACAAATTAACTTGAAAAATGTACTAAAATATTCAACACAGATGATGACAAGTGAAGCACACACGTTGTTCGTTTTTGAAGGTTTGAAGCTACAGTCGAAATAGTTGTGAAGGAGCATGGCATGTTGCATGACAAAACGATTCTTGAGGGGGACTGACGAAAGGCTACGTTGCTGCTTTGCTCCTCTCCTTGCTATTTGCTAATAATGCTTTGGCCATGGCCCCACACTCACAGCTCCCTATTTAATCGTCAATTATCGTTTCAAAGTCTTTAAAAAAGTAAACTTCCGCAACTACTTGGAAATTGGAAGAGAAGGGGCAAAAAAAAAAAAAAAAGCCAACAAGGAAGCGAGGAAGGAAGTTTCAGCCTGCCAACTCTAGAAAGAAGGAGAAAGACACACCAGTTGCAAAGCCGTGTTCTCTGTGTACGTAAGCCCTTCGCCCACGTCTTTTACACTTGATCATTCATCATGTATATAAATTGCGTGCCATTCTCATCAATTTATTCATACCATTGCAGATTAATTTGTCTTTATCTCTATCTCTACCTACATCCATCCTTCTTTCAGCTACCAATTCTATATATATATATATATGAAATTACACTCAGTTTCATCTTCTTCACCTTCACCTTCATCTTCCCACAATTCATCTCTCAAATCATCATCATCACCTCTTGCAAGATTACGTCGTACACTATCTCCAAGCAGCTGGAAATCCCTCGATATTTATAACATTTCTGTTCCAGCTACCACAAAAACTAACAACTACTACTCAACCGGCGACCACCTCCAAATGGTCTTTGACTGCTTTGACGAGGATGGAGATGGAAAGATATCTGCTGCTGAGTTGCGAAGCTGTATTACCAGTGTTGGAGGCCAGCTTTCCATCGAGGAAGCTGAGGCAGCCGTCAGCTCCTCTGACGTGGATGGAGATGGGTTGTTGGGATTCCAGGACTTCCAAAGCTTAATGGCTGGCAGTAGTGCTTCGGAGGAGGAGAAGGCGGAGGAGCTCAAACAGGCTTTTGGAAGGTACGAGACAGAGCCTGGCTCTGGCTGCATAACTCCTAATAGCTTGAAGAGGATGTTAAGTCGATTGGGTGAGTCCAGGTCCATTAACGACTGTAAGGCTATGATCCGTACCTTTGATCTCAATGGAGATGGTGTCCTTAGCTTCCGCGAGTTTGCTGTCATGATGCACTAGCTACCTCGTTCCCAACATCCATGCCCTTCTTCCACCTCACCCTTCGTCTTTTGATTCAATTCATTAATTTGTTCTCCTTCCTCTTCTTTTTTCCTGTGCATATTTGATGAACTGTAAGTTCATTGGGAGATCAATAACTGAGAGATGTTCTTAATTTGTATATGAAAGTTATTGTTAAATTCATTTCACAATTCTCAACTGCCTGATCAACTTTGAAATCTTCTGCCTCCCGATTAAACCTAAAAAAATGATACTTAAAACTTCTCACTAGCTAGCCCCAAATCCCAATCGTGAAGGGAAGCAAACTATTGAATGCATTCAAGAGTTTAATGATCTGTTTTATATTGAATAAGAAGAATCGTGAAAAAGTGTAAAATTATAAATTCGATTTTATTTTATATTGAATATGTTCAAAAGTCGTGATGACTTCACTTTTGAACTTAACGGTTTAAATATGGTGAAATAAAAAGTCGATTACTCGAATAAAGTAGCCACCTTTGAAAGGATGAGAATTTACACGGTCTCATCACATCTAATAATCATTTAATGATCTATCTCGTTAGAGGGAAAACTTATCGTTTCATCTCTAAAGGACTAAAAGGGGGGCATAAAATTTTAAAAGCTAGATGTCGATTGGAATCGATGTGTATTTATGCACTAAAATGCTGCATTTTTATCAAAATGATGCGTCTTCGGGATCTTAAGTAAAACGATGCGTTTGGTTTCATAAACTAACCAATATCGACGAATAGAGATTAAGATAAAACATGATAACCGTTCGTGCTCAAATTTAAAACTCCGGACGAGTTATCGATCAACAAATTATTTCAAAAAAAGAGGATGAACGAGAGAGAAGGAGGGGACATGACAAGATTTCTCTAAAGATCATCTTTTATCTAGCTTTCTTTAGAATAGTTTTATATTCCTGCAAGTTAGATCAATAGTATTTATCACTCGGTTTCAACGTCTTGGTACCGACCATATTTTGAAGAGCTATAGAATAATTCCCGGTGCTAGTTTTTGAATTCGATGCGCACCGGTGTCATCTATGTTACGTTTTCTCTAATTCAATCCTTATTTTAACAAACAAGCTCTTAGCGTAACAATTCGTTATTTCGGATGATGTTTATTTCCTAAAGGAGATTACATACCTTTTTAATAATATTGTTGATGAATATATTTTTGTATCTTACTAATGTGGATTTTTTCTTCTTTTTTCTTGTTCTTGAAGGCACATAATTAACGAGAAGCGGTATGTATTTGTTGTAGAATGAAGTATGAGTTAATTACCTCCACCTTTTTTTGTTTTGAATATCATTGCATTGCACATTCTGATTTAAAACATTACGGTTTTCTTTATGAGATTAGAAAAGTTATTTTTTATATCTTTTTTTATTATTAAATGTCTGTTTTAGAAGAAGATAGAAAACATTGGACTCTCATTTATCGATTAGCCTCATCCTCTAATGGAGAGAAATATAAAATTTTTTCAAAATTCATACAACTAAGTCTCCATTTTATTTATTTATTTTTGAAGAACATCTTATGTTTTTTTTTTTTTTTTTTTGGGTAATATATGATAAAAGAAGAGCGAAAAAATTTACGGGACATGCTTACTTACAAATGAAAGTAGAACATTTTTCTTGATTTTTTTTAATAATATCGAAATAAAATGAGATTGAGAAAAAATAATGTTTTTTTAGATTACTTTCTTTTAAATAATGAATTGAGATTTTTATTGTCTATTCTAGAAATTCATTTTCTTAGTGGTTATTTGGAATTCTTCCCAAAAATGAGCTCTATTTTTAATGGTTAACCGAGTAGATTTCTAACAAAATATGGAAAATACAATCACAAGAAAAATAGAAGGGAAAAAGCATAAGATTTTCAAAACACGAAATACAATATATAATCTAAACGAGATGATGATGGAGGTAATTAACTCACAAATCAATGGTCATTGTGCTTGTGTCGTTTGACTCCTCAATGGAGAACAGAACATAGTTAAATTTAGGAGTCATTGATTGCAAGATTTTTTCAACTACAACGAGTGTTTCCCTTATCCTCACCATTGGCTTTCATCTTGTTGGCAATGGTGAGTGTTTGAGCAAAGTATTCATTCACGGACTCTTCTACCTTCATGTGGAGTGTTTCAAACTCCTTATGAAGAGTTTGTAATTATGCTCTTCGACTCGTGTTGTACCTTGGTACTTCGTTTCATGGGGTCTCATATAGCTTTTACTCGTATCCTTGTTAAGGATTGTCTCCAAAATGGTGCAATCTAGAGCTTGAAACAAGTAATTCTTTGCTTTCAAATCCTTCATCTTCCGTTCTTCAATATTTTTCTTCTATGTATCTATAGAGGAGCTACCTTACTCGCTGCAGATCCTTTCAACTTTTGTTCTTCAATGCTTCCCTTCTATGTACCTACCGGAGTGCCATTCTCTCGTCGCTTCGGAGATTTCATTCTCCACCAAGCTCCAGTACTCCTAAGATCATAAGAAGTTCTCCATGAGCATAGCCCAATGATCATAGTGCCCATCAAAATTTGGGACCGCAAGTTGAACAAAGGAGCTCTCCGATGACATATCTCTTCAACAGGCTTTGATACCAATTGTTATATCTAATAAGAAAACATAGAGAGCTTAAAAGAGTCTCACATTAATAGCATATGCGAAGCATGGCTATTTATAGCCTTACAATCGGACAACACAAAAGAAGTAAACTAAGACACGTAAACTACCGATGTTTATCCAATACAAGCATTAATCCTACTCAATCTCTTCATAACGAGTCCTAAGCATAACCAAATCCTAACACCCATGTTATAACCATCTGTTTCGACTCTAAAAAAAGAATGCCATTCTCTAGCCTTCTCTAGATATCGGCTTTTCCACACTCTGCATACCTAAAGACCTTGTATTCATATCCTGGAGAAACCGTAGAATTTCACGAACCCGATTGCTCGAGCTCGACCTTTTAACATAGCAAAAACATTCATCATTCCTCCATTTCCATAACTTTCAAATCGTAACGCCAAACTCTAATAATGTGAATCCATGCCAAATCTTCTTGGTATCATTCCAATTTGCCTCCTCTAATAACCTATAAACTGACTTAATTTATAGTGAGTTTCCAAATCATTTTGTCTTCACCAACATCTTAGTGAGGAGGAAACATGGCTATAATGTGGATCGAGAACCACTTCAACTAGAAGCAAAATGATCGAAAAAGACCATCTTCATTGACCATTGTTGATTGTTCATAAAAGCACTAACACCGCATTGAATCAATTCGTTAGTCAAAAATCTTGTCCAACGACCCAAACATCACTCCAGTAAAATCCATTTTCTTTTATTACCCAAATTCTAAGCACAACTCTCTAAGAGAGACAAATAATTGTTATCCACTGGGCACCTATACTTAGCATAAAGAACCTTGACCCATAATTGATCCTAGGTTTGCAAAGTATCCATGTTGTTCCTAGCACACAAAATGAAGATAATTAAATAATAAATATTGCCATAATAAATAAATAAATTTATTGTAAATTAAACTAAATAAAGAATTGAAATTTTTTACCTTGATTATTGGAAAAATTAATGATTAAAATCACATTATCATATTTTGTGGTAAAAGGATAACCCGAACAATCAAAATAGTTTTACCATAATTTTTAAGTCACTAGCTTAAGGCACAACGAGGTTGCTTTCTTGGGACGATATGCGCCATCCGTAAAATTTATCCGATGCAATGGATCAATAATATATTACACGTCATCTCGGGGATAAATAAATAAATATTATATGGCTTTACATTGGGAGATTAATAAATAAGAAAATTGAAAGAATTTTTTCGTTTCTAAAAGAATGAGGCTCTTCTTTTCTATAAACAAGAGCATACGAATATATATATATATATATATATATATATATATTTTTTTTCTTTTTATTCTAGTACACATTACATAAGGGAAAGGTCCTATATGTAGGCTATAGGAATAAAACCCTTAGGGAAGAAATAGTTGCAATCATTAAGTGCAATTAATTATTATAAAAATGATTAAAAAAAAAACTTCTTTTATAAATGGTGTAATCTGTTTGTTAATTTATAAAATAAATATAGCTATGTACCTCATTAACCATGCATTGAATACTTTATTATTGTTGTTGTTATTTCATAATAATAAGTATAATATTTGATAGTTTATCAAAAAATAATCCAACAATCCACACTTATTTTTTTTAAAATATTGGCCATGTATGTTTTAAAATAAATAATACAATAAATGTAGTTTTTTATATTTTACTAAAAAATATTCCAACAATCCCCTATTTATTTTTTAATAAAATATTAGCCATATTTTCGAGTAAGAAAACAAACATAATACATAGTAAGGTGCCAATGGCTTGAACTCTTACTTAGTATTTCAACAATATTTCTCCCAAGCCAATAATGAATATTGTCTTGAACTAAGGCTTTTTTATGATAAAAAAATATTATATCACACATATTATATCCAGATACTATATGACAAGTTTCGGTGCCGGCACATTAACGACCTTGTCCTTGATCTCGACTTCTATGATTGTTTTAGATAAATAACTCAATTTTCATAGGAAGCGACTCTACTTGCTCACTCACATAGGTGTGTCTATCAAGGATGCTCTCATAATTCTAACATTCTATTCATAAAGAACTATAGACCACATTAAAAGTTTATTTTAAAGAAAATTAACCTCTCTTTTGTTACGATATTCATGCACTAGTGTCATAGGAATAGACATATGAATATTGTAACTAAAATAATTGTGCATGTAACCAAACCAATATATACTCGTTCTTCTCTTTGAACCTAGTTCTTGGGATCTCTAGTCCCTAAGTAGTGTATCCACATAGGTAATTTTATTAATTTATGGGCTTAGTCTCATCCCCCTCAATATACCATCTAATCCTTTGACTTTAACTAAAGATTTAATCCTATAATATTCAATATACAC